CATAACTTATCCTTTTTGGGATTTTTAAGGGTTGAAAACTGCTGATATAAGAGTATGTTTTCATCACACCACAACATACTGATTCAAATGCAGGGTTTTGGAGGAATTACCCAACTTAGTATCAATCACTCCAGAAAAGTGTTTGCTCAACAGAACAAACTGAAGTAGCTATTGGACTCAAGTGCTATTACTGTTCAATGAGGATGATCTGATTTTTTAAAAAAAAATCTTCCTAGAATCCAAGTATCCATCACTGATACCTCTATCTTCATGCCACATTAAACGTTGTATCCTGAAACACTAGTATACTTTTTGATCAGCAGGTTCTGTTGACCAGAGACAAGTGTAACACAAACCTTTTAAACTTTATATTAAATAACATGGTCTTGCTTCTAACACTGAATAGATTTTGGAAGAATACACACCAGTATGTAAAAAAAAAAAATGTCAGTGTTACTACAGCGATAGTGTTGTAGAGTTTTTATATGATCACAAATATGCAGCACTCTGAAAAGGAGGAGCTTTGGATTCTATGTATCTCAATTAATGTTAAAACTCATTTCCAGCCCCGTGCAATGATATTGCACTATAGACAATCCATGGTATGCTAGAACAGAACTTTCAACAACTTTAAACTGGTGCTAGATTGGAACTTATATATCAAATTACTTTCAAAATTAACATATTCAAATGGTTTATACAATCAGCAGGACCAAGTGATGCTTTTCTTGGTGCAAACTACTTTAGGCTAAAAATTGGCACACTTTATATACAAAAAAACAGCAGCCAATAAAAAAGAAATGTGCTGATAAAGAAGGCTAGGCTGACCCCTTCTCACCAAAATGGTAGAGTCAGAAGGGTGTATTTTTACTATGCTATCTGGAAAAATATTAAAACATACAATTAGTACAAAGTAATTTCCTCCAAGAGTACCACTGCTTGATTCTACTAAAATTATCCTGAACGCATGGCCCATTTAATTCATAGACTTTCATAGTTTAAGATCTTTTCCACCAAACATGCCAAAACACAGGTACAAAAGCACTCACAGTAATATAGTGAGGTAGCAACTTACCAGTACGCCATCCACCATCAGGTATTTTGTGGAATCAGTTCAATGTATCTGGAGAGCAAAGTTAAAACATTTTGTATTTAATAAATTAACTCAATACATCACCAATAAAGTCCTGTATTACTCAGAAAAGCTGTGATTTCACTGGGTGCTGTTAGCATAAATATATTCAAGACTAAAGCATAATGTAGCTGCCTTTTTTCTCAAATAGGAACGTACTACGTTATGGGCTAACTATGAACCCATGACATGATAGGCTTCTTTTGTAAAAGTCTGTGGGTATTATCAATATTTAGGACTTCCTTATTTTACCTCTCTCTTGTCTTGTTATCTAGAAGCAGAAAAATATGTTAGCACAGATCAATCCTATCTATCTTTAGAAAATAATCAAAAGTACAATGACTTTACTACCGATGAATCATAAAGCAACCCTTGTAACAAGGCCCATTGCTTTTATGGTCTTTCCTTAAGAAGAGAGGGGGAGCCAACTGCTCTTTGAACAATAGCAAAGTGCAAACACAGATGGATTATGCATGTTAAGTGCTGTGCAAGTGTTGGGACTATTTTTCATACAGATGACTTTCAGAGCAAGTGTTAACATTGCAGCTAGACTTTAAACTGCAACCAATCAATATTTTATAATACATATTCAGGTAATCAATTCAAAGGCATGTATCCCACCTTCTGTACAGAAACTCAAGGCAAAGTACTTAGAGCTTACTCCTATTTGTTCCCATAACAGCAACTCTCTGAAGTAGGCTGAGTTGAGAACATGAGATTGGCCTAAAATTGCCCAATGAGCTTGTGACTGAGGGCAGACTAGCACCTCTGTATCTCATTCTGAGTCCAATACCTTAATCAATACACCATACCAGCTCTGTAAATTGAATATTTTAAATTTAAAGTTCTGTAACAGAATAAATTCTCTAGAGGGAAAAAGTCCAGGAAGCTAACCGGAGTCTACTGTTAACCAAATGTGAATCTGTGAAGTCATACAACACTGATTTGACATCCTTTGCAATTCAGAACAAGTTTAATTAACCTACATCTTAATTGCCAAATTTCAAGAGAAATCTTGGAACTTCCATAGTACTGGACCAAAAATACAAAAATTCTTAACATGCCATGATTACTGAGAATTCTGGGAACTGTAGACTATTTGGAACATATCAGCTTCAGCAAGTCTCCAAGATATGAAACATTCTGTCTACAATTTTGAAACTTAATATGGAAGATAGGAAGCTGATACATGTTAGGAAGATGATAAACTTTTGAACTTCTCAGTGACTTAAGTATTTATCATCTGATCACCTGATTTCCTTCATGTGATTTCATTCAGTAATTTTGGGAGGGCAATTTCACATATTATTAGACATGTTCAGCCAACACTTGAACAAAGCATCTCTATTTCTTGACATTTAAATCTCAAGATTGCAAGGAATTCTTACAGAATATGCACGTTCCCAATTTGAAAACAATTCTATTCTGCAGAATCTATTAATGTAGCAAAGCCAATGCTGGGCTTACTTAACAGGTGGGATTTTCATTACAGACCCATATAAGGATCATTTTCCAAAGCTTATGTTCTTTGAAGCAAGTCCCACCAAATGTTTTGGGATTCATTTTTGTAGAATTGCAAATTTAATAGATATACTGAACCAGCTTTTTTTGTGGGGGGGGGAGGGATCTCTTTGTATTTCATTGTTTTGACTTTAGCAACTGAAATATTTTATTAGTCTGACCTTATCATGTAGTGGATTACATAATATAATTTCAGGAGAAGCACATAGGGGTAGAAGGTTTTTCAAAAATACACATTACAGATAGTGCTGCAAATGGGATTTTTTAAATTTTCTGGAGATGTACTAATATTTGCACACAAAACATAATGAGCAGTTAAAATTAAGAAATTTCACAAATACATAGTAAGAAATGGAGATTCATCTGCCTGTACTGAAATACTGAAATACAACAATAAAATGCTGCCTTGCTGGTAGAACACGTAGCATTTGGATTTTTCATACCCTGTTGTTTCTATTTTTAGCACTGACGCATTCATAGACTTCCCAATAAACAGAAGTTGTTATGTTATCAACTACTGGATGCTATAAACATCAACATTTCATATACTGATACTTATCCTCAAATTAGAACACAGAAAAACTGCTAAGTGCCCAGATGTTTTTTAATGCCACAGTACTTGCTAAGGGAATTAACCCAGAATGCTATAATGATCCGAAATTCTAAAGGGATTTAGGTAAGATCTAAGATTTTGCAATTTCCTTGGCTCTAGTAGAGTACAGTCTAAATGACTAAATTCATGCAGTATCATCCCTTTGACTCTTGACACTGAATTGTCCTGTTGTACCTTTTACAAAATTCATTACAGTTATATAGGAAATATATTTCATTTACAAAGAGAATTACAAGGTGATTTATAATTGAATTTTGTCAAAAGGAGAAAATATGCCAAGGTCACCACCAATTAAAATGACGTAACTTAATGTTTCAACGTATCTGGTACAGTAGCAAGAATATCAAGTTTTAAATCTTCCCTCATCCTAGCCTGAATGGTAATATGTAATGGGCACGTTCTATAATTCTGAAGAGGAGAAAAGAGGGTAAAAATACGTGGATTATTTATTCTCAAAATTATTATACATCCTAAAAATGACATAAGGGATGATTTTTCCCCCAGTTTTCTATTCATTTTTAAAACCATTTAAACTGAAATGCAATCTAATCCATGTTAATTCTTTGGCAGTAATTATTTACTGTCAAATAAGAATTATTTACTGTTAATTCTTTGGCAGTAAAATAAAGGACTGCATTGTTTGTTTTTACTAGTATTTTATATTTAATAATTTGCTATATTTATACTTCACTATTACATTACTAGCTAGCCCATACTGCAAATGTGAATAAACCCAAGTTCACCGTGTAAAGGTAGCATCTTACATTGATAAAAGGTCATTCACTTAAAAGGACTGAGTTTTAGTAAAACCAGAAAAAAATTTAAACAGCTAGTTATAAAAAGCTTGATCAATTTCTGAGCAAAACACTCATCATGCTTTAAGTAAATTTATTTACTCTAATTTATTGTTTAATTTTTCAAACATTAACCAAGTTGAGAGCCAAAATTCTATGACTGAATTCTATCACCTCTTTCTTGTGCTCACAACTTAACAATATCTCATATCAACAGTCAATTACTGTTCAATACTGGATTATGCAAAGCGACATATACTTGAGAGTACTATAGGATACATTTTATATTAAGTCAATGACTGTGAACTAACATTTACTTCATCATGATGACCTTCAGGTTTTTAATGTAAAATTTAATTTAAAAAATTGATGCAACACATACAGATTGCTGAAATCAGCAATCAGAGAATTGGGAGGATCAGTGTTTAGGAGGAGTCTACTTAAAATTGCAACTTGTCCATGAAAATTAAAGACTTTAGGTTAATATATGCTATTCATTTAAGTGTTTTATAACAGCAAAGTAATCATTTCCAAATTTTGTTGTTAATTTCATGTCTAGTGCTAGAAATATTAAGAGTTTTAATTTTTAACAAAAAAATTTAACGACAGCTTGTAGTAATATTGAAAATACTAGCTTTTACATTTAAAGATTGAAAGACAATTTCAAATTCCAAGCAAAGATTATGTTAAAGGCATAAAAGCTAGAAAGAAGCAAAGATGTAAAGCATCTGCATTATTCAAATAAGAATAAATTTAAAAATACCTGAAACAGCTAACATGCTCTCCTTTATCTCCATCTGAATCCTTCTAGTTATTAGAAGTCAGGGAAATCTTTAAAGAAGAACATATATATTTGAGTCAAAAATGGCATTCAACATAGACATCAAAAGACTTAAAGCGAACAAGCTACAGAAAAGTCCTCCCTCAAACACGTGTGTGTATCTGAATCCTTCTAGTTATTAGAAGTCAGGGAAATCTTTAAAGAAGAACATATATATTTGAGTCAAAAATGGCATTCAACATAGACATCAAAAGACTTAAAGCGAACAAGCTACAGAAAAGTCCTCCCTCAAACACGTGTGTGTGTGTGTGTGTGTGTGTGTGTGTG